CCCATTCCCACTATGGTGGTAGACCTGGCCTCCGGAGTCCGGAGGCCAGGTCTACCACTGTAGTGGGAAGACGTGAGTAGACCTGGCCTGCGGAGTTCGGAGGCCAGGTCTACCACTGTAGTGGGAATGGGTGGGTAGACCTGGCCTGCGGAGTTCGGAGGCCAGGTCTACCACTGTTGTAGGAAGGTGTGGGTAGACCTGGACTCCGGAGGCCAGGTCTGCCAATATAGTGGGAAGGGGTGGGTAGACCTGGCCTCTGGAGGGGGGGCGCTCCAGGGCAGGGGGGTAATTGAGCCAGGGGGTGGATGGGGGTGGAGGAGATAGGAGAACCGGCGGGATGGGGGGGAACTTACCTCCTCCTGCTGCTTCCTCCTCTTCCTCATAGTTGTGGAGTTCCCCCTCTCCCGCGAGTATCGCGGGTCCCCCCCTTGTATATATCTATATACTAATAGCGAAGTCACCCCCGTGCGTGTAGATACCTAAATCCGCGCATCGAGGGCACCTGGGGGGGAGGGAGATTTTTGTGCACACTTGGGGCAGTCCCCAGGTGTGCACAAAAATCTAAAAACCTGGAAAAAATACCAGGGGGATACTTAAATCCCCCCAAAAGTGGCAGAGCGTCCCCTGTGCATGTGCAGGGCACGCTCTGTGATCTCCCTCACCGCCGCTGCTTGGGGGGGGGGAAGAGAGCAGCGAGGCCCAAGCCATATATATATATAATGTGCACTCTCTGTCTCTCTCCCTCTGTGTGTGTGTGGCACATGAAATGGAAATCTATTAAAACAGAAGGTAATATATAACACATAACATTTTACAAAGCTCTATGTAGTTAAACCAAATTCTGTTACAGTAGATGTCATTCCCATGTCCTGCCCGCTTACCACTATTTTTACTTTTGCTGTAGATTTCAAAGTTTTTCTGACCAAGCTTCTACATGTGGTGTGGTCACAGCTTTCTAACATTAGAGAACAAAAATTACAGCAATATGTGATTTCTGACTTCTGTGTGAGCTTGAATCAATTGAATGCTAAGAAGTGAAGAGCTGAGTGAAGAATAAGCTTGATACCTCCTCTTATCAGAACACTGATGGTCAGTTTCTATATTACACATGCATTAATGTCCTACCAGTCATAAAACGTAAGGGTTCTAGTCTTGTCTGCCATCTTGCCATTCTGGAGTTGGAAGTGCTGTCAGCCCACATAGAATCTCCCTTTGTTTCAGTGGGATTATATGGGTTCATAAACAGCATACACAGAAACCACATGTAGCTGCCACAGGTCCAAACGTAATCTTGCTCCTTGGCAGTGATGAGTGGATGGCTCCATATCAACCAAGTCAACAGCTTCTTTCTCCATTTCTCACATTTTGACAGATTTATCTGTATTATATATACAATTTTATATGCAACTTTAAAAGAAGAGGAGGAGGAGGAGGAGGAGGAGGAGATTGGATTTATACCCCACCCTTCACTACCCAAAGGTGTCTCAGAGCGGCTTACAAACTCCTTTCCCTTCCCCTCCCCACAACAGACACCCTGTGAGGTAGGTGGGGCTGAGAGAGCTCTTGACAGAAACTGCTCTTTTTCAAGAACAGCTGTGCCAGAGCTATGGCTTGCCCAAGGTCATCCAGCCAGGTGCAAGTGGAGGAGTGGGGAATCAAACCCGGCTCACCCAGATTAGAGTCCGCACACTTAACCACTACACCAAACTGGCAAATATCATACAATGCACATCATTACATATATATATGCACATATCTGTACATTTTATTGGTGAAATTCTGTGAAGAGAGACACAGTGATGTAAAATAGAAAAGAACCTGTACAAGGGAGAAAAGATCAGAAGGGAAGTTTGTGGCTGAAAACAGCAGGGATTTGAAAATAAAAATAATCTTTGGGTATCCCATATATCTCATGGAAACAAGGACTTTCTTCCCTTTTGTCACCTCAGTTGGCTCCTGCAGAAACTGCGCTGTGCTACAGTACTGAGTCTCTACTATGGTGTCTCTACTTCTCTATACTGGTATGACAGCTATGCCAGAAGGCAAGGCCAGTTCCTTAGAGAACAAGACTCTGGTATGACAGCCAGGCAGACACCAGTGTAGGTGGAACAGAAGGAAGAGTCCCAGTTTCCTGGAACATTTTTCCTATGGAGTCACCAGTCAAACCAGGTTTCAGCTGGCACAAGAACACAGGAAGAGCTCTACTAAATCTGACTGGAGGTCAGGCTGGTCCAGGATCCTGTTTCCACCAGCCAGATGACTCTGGAAAGCTTACAAACAGGACACAAAATCACTCTCTATCCTTAGCAGATGCTATTTAAAGGTCTCTGAACATGGAGCTGCTTGAGAGATGAATTAAATGATTCTTTTGCCATGGATTTTGTCTTTCATTTCCTTTCTCCAATAAAAGCTCTATGATAGATTGATCTTGAGCAGTGAATAACTGTTGTTAATCACTTATCACCCTATAGACAAGAGTAAAAAAAAATGCAACTGCTAGAATTCTTTTTGGACCCCTGTCACCATGTAGTAAGGCATGTTGTTATGCAAAACACTAGGGAGACGATCACTGACCCCCAAAAATGAAACTCCCAGGATGCTGGCCAATGAGCTGAGATCAGGAGAAACAATGAAATAATCAATAACCCTCATTCCCTTGAAGCCCAAGATGGTAAAATCCCCATTTGTATCAAATTCCCTGGTGGCCACTCAAAATTACTAAATTCCTCTGGGTAGCAAAAGTGGCCAACCTCAAACCACCGGCATTTATTGTGATGTCTTTTTGAGGACTGACAAAAACACCAAGGACTAAGGAAATTTCCACTGTAATTTTGGTTTTCCAAAAAACAAAACAAAACACCTCTGTCATCTAGTAGCCATCTTGTAGCAGAAATTCTGAAAGTGAATTAACCTGGTGGGAGCCTCCCATCAGAAGCCAAGGGAGAGTTTTGATGCTTCAGAACATCTGATGCTCCTTTCTACATACCTGGGCCCCATGAAAAGTGACCCTGAAGATCACCTGGTTTATCATGACGTTTCCTGAAGAATCTGCTCTTGAGTCCATCTGTATGCTGGTCCCTCATGGAAATACTTTTTTATTGGGTTGCGAGTGACAAAACTAGGATTCTTCTGTGCTTAGCATGGAGCTATTTATTTGTATTGCAGGAAAACACTGTGCGAGCTTTCAGTAACTGGGTTCATAGGGCGAGTAGTGGAATTTGGAGAAATCTGAACTGGGTACGGCTCTCTGGAGGTCACAGCTAGTTGAAACAACAACAAAATGTCAGTTGGAAACCTCCAATTTTATATTATTTTATTTGGCTTTCAGCACATAACATGAAAGCAACAACATTCATGTTTAATAACTGCCGAGGAGGAGGAGGAGGCAACAGTTGATATGGTTTTCTGCCTGGCCTAATGAACAATCTTTCCAGCTTAGCACTGAAAGGGCATCTGCCAACAGTCCCCGCAAGCGGAAAGGGAAAAAAAGCTAACCTTGCCAGCTACAAGCCTCTTCAGGGGTTGCCCCAGAGCACCCAAGCATGCTGTACTGTTGCATTCTGCTCTGGGTCTGGCTTTATTTGATTGTCACCAATTAGTGCAACAATAACGATCCTTACAATCTGTTAGATGTTGAAGCTGCTCCCTAACACAATTAAGCGCTCGCAACAAACCCGAGCCACAATGAGAAATGTAGCCCATTAAGTCCCATTTAATCAGCTCACAATTTCCACTCTTGCCTGGCATGTCCCCCTAGGACTCGACTGAAATAATGGCCGCAGTTACCTCTTCCTGGTATGCCTTGATTGATTGACAAGCGGCGGCTGTCGTCAGCCACTCTCCTCCACCATTTTCCCAGCAGGGGGTATTGCACAATGGCAATAGGGAGCCTTAATGATACCACAGCTTCAGTCACTACTATATAAATATGACATGAAACTTCCTGCGCTGTGCGGAGCGGCATTTTTCTTTCATGTTTTATCTCTTCTTTATATGCGGTAGGTCACAGGGAATAATTTTTAACTCTCCAAATCCTTAAAAAAACAGGACTTTGAATGCCTGCACACTGAAGTCAGTCGGGATTAAGTAATAGGGCTTGTTTTTCTGTATGCTCGATCTGGCGCCTTCTTTATAGGCTTTGATATTGGGATGAGCACAAAGAAATGGCCACAGCTCTGCGTGTCCTCTGCGCTAATAACAGCTTCTGCAGTGTGATGGTTAGATGACTCAGACCGGGGAGAACTAGGGAGGTTTCTGACGTTTGAGAACATGCTGTTTCAATTCTGCCCATCCCTGCTCAGGCTGCGATTGCAGTTGCCTTTTTCCCCCCTCCAGATCACGTGAATGGAATTTGACAAGAATGTCACTGTTAAAACGGATGCCAGCATTTGCATTCGTAAATGGCATTAAAATGGTTAGGGTGGACAAGCCCTGTAAAATGGTATGGAAGAAACTGACACATCGGGAATGCCAGCAACGAACAAATGGGCACAGCAATGGCACACAAACACATCCAGGGAAAAGGCACACTTGTACAGCCCTAGGGAACAGACCTCAGGACTGCATGTGGAGCTTGGTATCAATTACAGAATCAGAGGTGATTTAGTGTAGTGGTTAGAATACTTGGTCAGGGGGGCTAGAGTTCAAATTCTTATGCAGTCATGCAAGTGGCTGAGATAAGTCCCCCCCCCCGCCTAAGATTGTTATAAGAATAAAATAGGTGCAGGACTGCATTTGCTGTGCTTAGCTCCTTAGAGGAAGGGTAGAATGAAAATACAGCAATTAAAAACTGGAAAGATCTTAAGGACTATTTGGAAAAAAATTGGGATGTAAGGGATGGTTTATTTAGACGCCCTAGGGGTCTCTGGGCAGTTAACAGGGGAGTTCTAAGAACTATTTCTCTCCTAACTAAGGCCACATGATATGGGGTGGGGGTTCCTACTAGCACCCTATGTGGTGGGCCCGCTGTGTGTCTCATTTCTGGCTCGGCTTTCCTTCTCCCGGCGGTCTCTTGCATCTTCCCTGGGCCGGCTGCTTCCTTGGTGGGACTGTTCCTGGCGCCCGTCTCCATGTCTTGCTTCGGCCTCGGCTCTGTCCTGAATGGTTCCGCTGCGCCCACAATGCACGTCATCGTGCGCCGCCTCAGTCTCCACCGCAGTCGTCTGCTGCCAGGTATCGCTCTGCCTTGTTCTCGCTTTTTCACTGCGCCGCGCCGTCTAGGCTCCACCGCATCCACCGCCATTGGTGCTCTCGCCGTGATGTTCTTGCCGCTGCTACCACCACATACCTCACTGAGGAGGAGGGTGCCCCCCACCCTTATAAGGGTGGGTACCCATTTGCCTACTCGCTTGGTTTTATTTGCTTTCAGGCCGCTGGGTGGGCGGGAGCTGGGACTCGGGCCAGGCGCTCACCCTGGCCGCAGTGGATTCTCGAACAGCCATAGTGGCTGTCTCTAGATGTTACTGGCAGGCGTTTAACCGCCTGCGCCACCGCTCCCGCTTTGACAATTATCGAAGGCAATAGATATTAAAAATAGACTAAGATGTATTACTTAAATATAGATATGTGTAATTAAACAGAAAAAGGGTGGAGGAAGAAGACCTAAGAATTGAACAGGAAGCTGGAGCTCTGTGGGAAGCCACGCGGGGGGGGGGAAGGGTGGAGGGTATGATGGATTAAGGTAAAAGTTGTGATCTATATTTGACTATGTTTATTATATCCTAATAAAAATGGTTTAAAAAAAGAAAAGGAAATCCAGCAATTAAAAGAAACTAATAACCCCAAGGATCTTTTTTAAAACATCAGTTTCTAGTCATTGTACCAGAATCCTGAATGAAGACACGATACACCAGGGGGTATGGGTTAAACTAGGTTTTTATTTGGCAGAGGGGACTGCATTTTTGTGGTCTGTATGATCTCGATATAATAAACCCAAAGACCAATTAGGGTGCTTACAGATGGCTTATTACGGCAAAGACTCGGACAACGAGATACCAAGAAACAGTGGCATTGCAAACACAGCAAGCTAATATTGGATCCAAGAGAAATAAGAGACCCTGTAACGCAAACACTGTCTCATTGAACAGGAATATCACTGAGTGGATTAACAGTATCGTCTAGCTGATGGAGTATAGATTGTGTAAAGGCTGGCTGTTGCAGTATGTGCTGCAGTTTGACCAGTTACTTCACCTACTATATATGCTTTCGGGTTTCTGCTGCTACAGATCTCTGTGTTTCCAAAATTGCCTATTACTGCTGCACAGATGGGCTCATCTTCAACAACCTTTCCTGTGATGGGGTTGAATGTTTTCAGGGTGCAGCAGTAACATCTGTGCTCAATAGCACAGAGTTGCTTTGGCAAATTAACTGGCATTGACCAATCAATTCAGCTGTAGAGATGCTTCCTGGAAGAAATAGTGGCTTTTTGTGGATTCTTTTTCAGGTAGGCAGAAGTTTGTTCTCTGAGAAGGACTTGCTAAAGTTCATAATACTTATTATTTGGAACACCTAAGGAAGTAGCCTCAGGGTAGGTGGGAGGGACCCACAGCCCTAGGGACTAAGCCTAGATGTTTTTATCCACAATTTGTATGTAGAATCTGAACTCACTGAATCATAGACCTATATAACCCTTCTATCCAGAATACCTGTAGCTGGTGGAGTTAATAAAAAAAATCAAGGATGCTCATTCATCTGGTTCAGCTCACAGTCAGCCACATTCCAGTTAGCATAACTGAAAGATCAATGAACCATTCACCTGAATGTTTTCTATATTTTTCATCATAAAAAGGGGGAATTGTGCATGTCCACATCCTTCTCTCCCACAGCTTTCCAATATACCCCCCTCCACCATTTCCATGTCTGCTGTTTGCCACATTTTTCAATGCACAAAATGTATATATTTCACTGATGGTCATGTAGAATTGTGTTTCCCTGTCTCTCTTATTTCCTCATTGATCATTCATGCCAAAGGGACATGAACTATCAGGATCTGGATCAATTTGCACATGCACATGCACATTCTTACACTGCCACATGGGAATTGTAGGGGGGTTTTTACACCCTTCCCCATACTCCAAATCCCTATTAAAACTTGTTTGATTTACAAAATAGGTGTTTTGGAGTTGCACAGATTGTTTTCCCAATGGTGTGGGATTCAAATCAGAAATAATTGAATAATATTCTTCTACCGCTTCATGGGAGTTGTAATTTTTGTTTGTTTTTGTCTTTTTGGATGGAGGCGAAAGACATATAGCACCCTTGGCAGTTATCTTACTGAACAAGACAAGAATGCTAGGAAACGTTGAAGGCAGCAGGAAAAGAAGACCCAACATGAGATGGATTGACTCAGTCAGCCATCTTTTAAAGGACTGAGAGGAGTGAGCTGATTATCTTTCCACCAATATCATCAGCCTGACATCAGACACATTTACATTTGAAGAGGCCACTCATTTCCTATCATTAATGGGTGATCCAAGACCCAGTATTAGAGTATGATTATAGTGATTCTTATTTATAGTAGGCAGCACTTTAAATGCACATTCTGCTTTACGGGGGGTGGGGGGGGTGGAATCCCTGCCTTGAGAACATAAGAAGAGGTCTACTGGATCAGACCAATAGTCCATCTACTTCAGCACCCTATCACACCCAGGGGCCACTCAGTTCCTCTGGGGGGCCAACAATAGGGCACAGACTATTTTCAGTGGGGGTCACTGGGGGCATGATGTCATGTAAATAATAAATACAATAAAAATAGAAGAGCCCCCCCACCTGGTGGCAGTGAAGGGGGGAATGCCAGCTGAATGCAGCTCCCCCCTTCTTTCCTTCCAGTCCCTCCCCAGCTTAGCCTTTACCCTCCCCCTGGGAAGGCAGAGCGGAGCACCCACCATGGCTTCTGTGTGCTGACCCAGCAGAAGGAGTGGTGGCAGCAGGATCAGGCAGCTGCCTATTGGGTTCAACTTCATTCTCCTGGCTGAGAAGCTGTTGTGCAGCCAGGGGGAGACTGGCTGGACTGCATGGGGCTGGGCTGCCTGTCCCCTCCCCCCTCATGCCTCTCCTCAGGCAGGCAGCAGGCAAGCCAGGGATGGCCAGCTGGCTCTCTCCTCTGCTGCTCTGTGCGTCGCCCGCTCCTGGGGACTGGGACAGGGGTGTGTGGGAATTGGCTGTGGGGCACACTGGAATTTAGGAGGGGGCTGTACCCGATATGCCCTGTGTTAGCTACAGTCCTGATAGGGCATAGAATTTGAGGCCTTCCCCTGATGTTGCCTTCCAGCACTGATATCCAGAGGTTCCTCCATGAATCTATCTCATCCCCCCTTTTAAAGCTGTCTATGCCTGTGTCCATCACTTCATCCTCTGGCAGCGATCCTCTGAAGACCCTGCATTCTAAAATCAGATGTGGGGGAAATAACACAGAGTGGGGAGAAACATGGAGACATTGAAAAAAAATGGGAAGAATTTTTCCTGTGTTCCAGTTTCACAAGCTTAGCCTTAGTTGTAGTAGAGGAAGAGAAGACCAAGGTGTTTTTTCTTCATGGGAAAAAAGTGTGGTTTTAGGATAGATTGGAATGAAGCAGAATCAAGCAGGTATTCTGAAAGACTTCGAGGCATAAAGTACAGCAAGGGAGACAGTCTGTTTCCAGGCAGGATGGACACAGATTATTCATGAAAGACAATTCTTGGTTTCCACTGGCATCACAGAGGCCAAGCGTTTGTTTATCTCTACTCATAAGACAGGTTCTTCATTCATAACTGAATGACTGAGGGCTGCTGGATTTAGCCTTATCAGTTAAAGGTGTTGAGAATTACTTTTTCTCTCTCAGGGAAGAAATGATTCTTCTCCAAGCAGCAAAATCCGTAAGACACGCAGTGTGATGCGACTGTAAACTAGACCAAACTTTCCAAGAAGGCAGGAGATGGGGGGGGGAGTTATCTCTGGAGAAACAATTATTTCCCCTACCAAAGAGAAAAAATTGCCACAGATTATCTGGGGTAATTGGTTTATCCCAATAAAAAATAGCAGAAATCAAAAGCCATTGACAAATATGAGGTTACAGGTCATTAATGGTGCAAATTATGAGTTTAGCATCCAGACAGTACAATCTCTTTGAGTCCATTGATAACTACCCTAGTCTGTTAATCAGACCCAAGATGTCAGTTCTTCCACTGTTTTGTTTGTGAGTGTCAAATTTAAGAGCCTCTCTAGGGGAAGAAATAGTAGTCCTCAACTCCCACCATTGCTGGAAATATATGATATGGATGTAAGAACATAAAGAATGCCTGCTGAATCAGAACAAAGTTCTATCTATCTCAGCATCCTGACTTCATTAATAGTTAAACCCAACGTTTCCAGGTGTCAAGTAGAGCATGGAGGCAACAGCCCATCTTCCTGCCTGCCTCCAGCAACTGGTATTCAGAGATACACTGCCCTGAACTGAATGGCTCCATTTAAATATTGTGGCTTATAGCCCCTGAAGGATGTATCCTGATTGAATTTGTTTTTCAAACCATCTAAAAACCAGTAGCTGTCATCACAGCTTGTGTCAGTGAATTCCATAAGTCAGTTGTGCATTATGTGAAAAAATCCCTCCTCTGTCCTGAATCTTTTGTCAACCAGTTTAATTCGATATTCCTCAAGTGCTATGCTAAATTACAAGTCTCTTATTTTCTCCTGTCACAACATGGTGAGTTTCAGCATTAGGCATCTCCACTGGGACCTCTATGGAAGGCCTTCTAGTGTTGTCTGGTATCACGGGGTTTTAATTAGGAGGTCAGGTATAGATGGCTGTCTGCACCCCTACAGAAGCAGCCTGGAAAGAGGATTACAAACAGTTAAGTCAAGAGACTCCCTAAACAACTGACAATCCTCCTGGCTTGGCTAATCAGGTGTGACTCAAGGGCCAATCCAATGCCTCCTGGAAGTATAAAATTTCAAGCAAGTCGACTTCCTCAGTTTGGACAGCTCATGGCTGAGGGAAGCAAGGTTTTCTCTCTGTTCCATGGACTATTGGCCATGAACTAGTCTTGCCAGTTTCTGGCCTACCTATTCTTCACTTCAGACTACCACTTCTTAGTTACCTGTCTGTCCTCACACATAGTCCCAGAAAGAAGCTGTGGCAATGGTGCTTCCCAGAATGCCTTCAGGCAGACATGTGTGTCTGTGGTAGACTTCTATA